CAATCAATACAGGACTATCATCATCATCAACAACAACAACAACCACATCAGCAGTACCCATAACAACATCATCATCATTTCTAACAAATAATAATTCAAATGATTTAACATCAACAAATAATAGTGTTATTGGTCATTTACCAGATCATCATACATTTCGATATTTAGCATCACCATCAAATCAACAATCTATTCAAACAAATCGTGTTCCATTAACACCAGCAGAATTACGAATGCTTAATAGATTAAATTCAGCTTATGCAAAATTACCATCATTATTAGAATCTGAACGACAAAGGTTTTCTTTTTTTTCTTTCTTTATTTTTTTTATTAATAACAATTTATTTTTGATTTTTTGTAGAACAAATGCGAATCGTATTTATGGACGAAGTCCACTTGGACATTCGCAAATGATTCCATATTATCCTCAAACACCACCAGCAGGTTCTGATACACCAGAATTTTATTATCGTTTAGCACCAGATACATTATTCTTTGTTTTTTATTATATGGAAGTAAGAAAAATAAATATTTAATTTTGAAATTTTTTATTTTTCGTTGTTTGTTTTTTTATTTTCTAAGGGAAGTCGTGCACAATATTTAGCTGCTAAAGCATTAAAACGACAATCATGGCGTTTTCATACAAAACATATGATGTGGTTTCAACGACATGAAGAACCAAAAACAATAACAGATGATTATGAACAAGTAAAATGAATTTTTATTCTTTTGAATAATTATTAAATTGTGATATTTTGTTTTATTTTTCAGGGTACATATATATTTTTTGATTATGAACGATGGCAAACACGTAAACGAGACAATTTTATATTTGAATATAAATTTTTGGAAGATCGCGAATTTTAAGTTTATGTTTATTGTACATAGAAGAAGAGTAAAAGAAAATAAAAGAAAAAGAAACGAATATAATATATACTAAAGAAAATACAAAAAAAAAACAGGCACTTTTATTTTAGAAGAAAAGAAATATCTATTGAATTAATCGATTATTATTATTAGATGTATTTAAATAAATAGATCTGATCATATTTTTCATTCATTTGTGTTGTCTCTCTCTCTTTTTTGAATATGCGCGCTTGGTTCGTTCTTTTTTTTCAGTGTTGTTTGTTATATTCACTGTCACTTTATTTGGTTCTCTCTTTTTTTTTTATGTGTATATCTATCGTATATGTGTGTGCGTGCGTGTTTTTTTTAAACAAACAACGTCCTCTTTATGGTCTGTTGAATTCTTTGTGTTTGAAAAATTTATCAATTGAAGATGTGATGATTTAGTTAGCCTTGATGACGATCATAGGATATAATATTATGATAGCATACTGTTTTTTTTGATGCCATTGTCTCTTTCTGTAGTTGTGTCTTCCTCATCGAACACTAAATCAGTCGACATTGGGATTGGATGAGGATAGGATACAAAAAAATAGAGAGAAAAACGATGAGAACGTCGACCAAATAATAATTATGTACCATCGTGTATCTTTCTATCATGCACAAGCTACCAAACAAAAAAAACTCAGTAGGCAAGCAGAAAGAAAAATGTGGGTGCCACGAAAGAAAAAGAAGAAAATGTACATCAAGCAAAGACGACGATTGCAAAGAGAATAGTTGTATTATCTATCATTTGGTGTAGGCAATCGGTCGCAAAGATTATTCCTTTTTTTTCTGTATTCTCATCCGTTGTCTTTTCTTCCACTTGATTATTCAGGATTATCATTAAAATGGTGTGTATACATCTTAATTAGAAAACCTATGTTTAGATATCTGTTTTTTGTATGTATTTAGCGAGAATGTATAAGTATTCATGTTGGCCAAGCTGGTAATAATTATTTTCTATTATTTGTTTATTTTTTCTATACAATTAATAATAAAATATACATAATAGGTGTTCAGATCGGTAATGCTTGTTGGGAACTTTATTGTCTAGAACATGGCATTGAACCTGATGGAACATTTAGTAAAGAACGAGATAGTAGTCATATTATTAGTAAGATAATAATGAAAAAAAAATTATATATATTTATATTTCTTGTTTCTTTTTTCTATCTAATAGAGTCAATTTCAGGTTTGTATACATATATTTTTAATGATAGTTTAATCGAAATTTTATGGTATAGATTCCAAGGAAACATCATTTAGTACATTTTTTAGTGAAACAGGTTAGAAAGTTTGTTCTTTTTTTTTGTTTATATTTGAAAATTGTAAAATGAATGATATGATTTTAGGAACGGGACGATATGTACCACGCGCTGTTTTTATTGATCTTGAACCATCAGTAATTGGTAAATATGAAATTTTGATTGATTTGAAAATTTTATAAAATAGAAATTGTTTTATTTTATTTTTTTATTATTATTCAAGATGAAATTCGTCGAGGTCCATATGCTAAATTATTTCATCCAGAACAACTTATCTCAGGTAAAGAAGATGCAGCAAATAATTATGCTCGTGGTCATTATACAATTGGCAAAGAAATAGTTGATACTGTACTTGAAAAATTACGTAAAATAGCTGATCAATGTACAGGTTTACAAGGATTTCTAGTATTTCATAGTTTTGGTGGTTAGTAATATGAAAGAAAACTTATAAACAAAAAAACAAAAACAAAATATTTTGTTTTTTATTATTACACAGGAGGTACAGGTTCAGGTTTTACATCATTATTAATGGAACGTCTTAGTTTGGATTATGGTAAAAAATCTAAACTTGAATTTGCTATTTATCCAGCACCTCAGGTTAGAAAATCTATTTCATTAAATTGAAATCTTAAAAAATCTATATATTTATGTATAGGTTTCAACTGCGGTTGTTGAACCATATAATTCAATATTAACAACTCATTGTACATTGGAACATACTGATTGTGCTTTTATGGTTGATAATGGTTTGTAAAATTTTTTTTGCTATAAGGAAATTTATTTTGATTTCTTATTTTAATTATTCTAGAGGCTATTTATGATATATGTCGTCGTAATTTAAATATTGAACGACCAAGTTATCATAATTTAAATCGTTTAATTGCACAAATTGTTTCATCAATAACAGCATCACTTCGTTTTGATGGTGCATTAAATGTTGATTTAACTGAATTTCAAACAAATCTTGTACCTTATCCACGTATACATTTCCCACTTGTTACTTATGCACCCATTTGTAGTGGTTAGTCTATTCTTTTTTTTTCAAGAAATAGATTGAAATGACATGTTTTTTCTTTTGTTTAGCTGAAAAAGCTGCTCATGAAGCATTTAGTGTTCAAGATATAACAAATGCTTGTTTTGAACCAGTCAATCAAATGGTTAAATGTGATCCACGTAATGGAAAATATATGGCTTGTTGTTTATTATATCGTGGTGATGTTGTACCAAAAGATGTTAATTCCGCTATATCAGCTATAAAAACAAAACGATCTATACAATTTGTTGATTGGTGTCCAACAGGGTTCAAAGTCGGAATTAATTATCAACCACCTGTTGCTGTACCAGGTCTTTCTTTTTTTCTCAAATTATTTTTTATGTCTAAATGAGTATATATATATATGAATCATTCTTTTTCGTTTTGTTTTAGGTAGTGATGTGGCAAAAGTTCCTCGAGCTGTTTGTATGATATCAAATACAACAGCTATTGCTGAAGCATGGGCACGTCTTGATCATAAATTTGATTTAATGTATGCTAAACGAGCTTTTGTTCATTGGTATGTTGGTGAAGGTATGGAAGAAGGTGAATTTACCGAAGCACGAGAAGATTTAGCTGCTCTTGAAAAAGATTATGAAGAAGTTGGTATCGATACTGTAACTGATGAAGCTGGTGATGTTGAAGAATATTAAATCAAATAAAATGAAAACATCTCCTATACTTAATCTCGTTTGTGTGTAACTAAAATATTTTAATCATTCTACATCATATAAATAAATAAATAAATCACTTATTTAACCATTGCAAACAAAAAAAAAAAGAAAAACCATCATATTTATATATCATTGGTGTATGTTGTTTTTCAAAACTGAAAATAACGTGTACAGAGATACACAGAAAAAAAAATACACACACACACATACAGATAAATAATCACGCCGTCAAAGAAAACAAAACAAAGTTTATCTCTGTTGTTTTCCATGCTTTACTACAAAACCAAAAGGATTTTCTTTATTGTTTAGGTTTTTCTTGTTTTTTTTCCGATGGCGATGATAAGCATACACAACATACATACACACGCAGATATATAAAGTATAGGCATCCAGAAACCCAACGATAATCAACAGAAAAAAAAAACCACACACACACAACAACCGTGTAGGTATGAGCACACAAGCACGAAAAAAAGAAAGATAATATAACTGTTGGTTTTTTTTCTTTTAAGTTGTGAATAAATTAGGGAGTTTTTTTTAATAAACGAAAAAAGAAACAGAAAACAACAAAATAAAATGAGTGAACTGCACGCACGCACGCAAACACACAGCAGATAATAAAAGCTGACACACACACACACACATAATCGCTTAATAAATAAATAAAGGAAAAACAGCGGCGGCGGCAGTAATAGTGGCAGCATAAAAAAAAAAGAAAACACAGTTTGGAACACAGCAGCAACTCACAAAAAAAAAAAGTCGACACAGAAATCGAGAGCCATAAACACATAAACAAAACATATAGGGAATTCCTTCTCCTTTTTTTTAAGAGTTTTTTTTTCTACACAAGTCTCTTTGAGAAACACACACAAACAACACGAGAGAGAATCAAAAGAAAAGTATATATGTTCGATTCCTATTTTTTTTTTTTCTCTTTTTTTCGAAGGAAACAAAACAAAACTGAAATAATGGCGAAAAGAAATGAAAACGAGAAATAGACAGTTAAAAACTTATACTCATATTACAGATCTTTGTTATTCTATTGTGTTTTTTTTCAATAGAGATATAACACGATGTTTATTTTTTGCTTTATTAATTACTGTTCTTTCATTTATGTTGAACATTTGCTTTTTTTTCATACTACGAATTACGACGTGGTTTTTTTAATTCAACCTTCAGTCGTTTTGAACCAACACTAAATCCATCCATACTTGATATCGCTAAAAAAACAAGAAAAAAGAATTTAATTAAATTTCATAATAATAATAAATAAATATATATATATATATATTATCGATTAAAATTCATGCCTTACAAACATGAACTTATTCATGTTGACTCTAGATATATATCTCGAGGGAATATTAAAACAAAACAATATCTATGATCTTACTCAATGAATAACATCAAAAAGAATAGTTAATTATAGATATTGATTAAAAATAAGTTGTTATTGTAAAAGAAAAAGGAAAATTTGTTTCTTGAGTGTAATCAAACTAACAAAATAGATATTATTAAAGTAAATTTGGTTTTTATAGAAAATTAAGTTTTCAATTAGTTTAAAAATTTGTCATATAAAATAATTTCTAACATTTTAAAATTTTGAATTTTATTAAAAATATTTATTCGAAATCAATAATCATCTAATAGAAAAAACTATTTAAATGTTTTTATGAAATGAAAACATAAATTAAAGTAAAAAAAAAATTATCTCAATACTTTTTTCGTTATACTAACAAGTTGTAATCAGTTGTTTGAATTCATATTGAATCAACAAGAAATTATTGGTAAGAATAGAAAAAACCTATAAGAATTCGTACCGATAGACTTTTGAAGTGAAGCTATGATCGTTTTACTAAAAGTTTCTATCCAATTTTAGATATTTACGAGAAAAACAAAGTATAAAATTTTGTTTTGAAGTTAAGGCTATAGATAGGTTTATTGACTCTTGGAATATATTGAAAGTTTCAGCCGATAAGAATATTCTTTTGTCAAAACATTGAATTTCTAAAAATAGAGTTTACTTGCGAATTATAATAACTCAACAAACAAAAAAAACAAAATGTTCTTTTCAATTGAAAATTTCAGTCTCTTCAATGTCTGTTTTTTTTTACCTTGTTGAGCCGACGAAGGATTATCATATGAAACAAAACCAAAACATTTCGATTGATTTGTTTTTTTGTCAACGAATACCTGAATCAAAACACAATAATATTTATAAAAATAAAATCTAACTATTGATTACCTTTGCCGACAAAACATTGCCTAAAAAAAAAAAAAAACAAACAAGAATATTTAATAAAAGAAATAAAAATATAAAAAAAACTTACCAAATTGAGAAAATAAATTCATTAATGATTGATCATTTGTTTCTTGTGGTAAATGACATATAAATAAATTGGAATTTTCAGGTCCGATTTGCTGTTTACCACTTTTTGTTGTACGATATGCTGGATTAGGTGAAAAACGCATTGCTGATAAATATGATGAATTATTTGAAAATGGTAAATAACCATCATTACGTTCATAACGATCATTAAACATATTTGATGCTGTTGGTGGTGGTGGTAATGGTCCATTTTGTTGTTGTTGTGTTAAAAAATTTTGTGTATGTGGTGATGATGGTGAATTAACATATAAATGATTTCCAAATGGTGGTGGTAATGGTGGTGCTATACGTGAATTAACCATTGATGATGGAATTTGTTGTGTTGGTGAAGATTGTTGATAATAAAATGATGATAATATTTGTTGTTGTTGATCGTTTGTTGGTGGTAAAAATGGATTTTGATATGATGGATATGTTGATGATGGTGGTAATGGTGGTGGTGGTTGCAATTGTAAATCAGCAAAACGTCCAACCATTTGATCTAATGTTAATTTTGATTCTCTTGGAATCATTGAATTATCTAATGATGATGTTGATGATTGTTGTTGTTGTTGTTGTTGTTGACGTGTATCAAGTAATGAATTATTACGTCGATCGATATCACTTGAAAAAAGTACAGATGATGGTGATGGATCATATAATGAATCACTAAAACATGATGACATTGGTGGTAATTGTTGGGGACAATATGGTGATGTATCATTTGGAAATTGAAAACGTCCTGTTTGTCCAAGATGATTACCATTTAATAAAGCTGCTGGTGATGATGGTAATGGACTAAAATCATTATTATTATGATTTGTTGTTTGTCTTGGATATGGCAATTCATCACCACAAATATCACTACCAAATGGTTCCGATGGCCATGAACGATGTTGTTGAGGATGAACAGGTGAAAATATTGATTCATTCCAATGTTGATCAAGTACAGATTGATTTGACGTAGGCCATATAGGCGGTCGATTATGAAATAATGTAAAACCATCAGTTGGTTCACCACCTCCACCATTATTATTTGGATTACTTGTATTTCCGCTAACGCCACCGCTTGTGACCGTCATTGCGGACATGATGTTCCGACTTTTTTTTTGGGGAGGCTGGCCAACTTACACCCTTACTCACTGAAAATCTAAAATAAATAAATAAATAAATAAATATATATTTATATATAATTCAATTTTTTTCTTTTTTTCATCATTTATTTTATTTAATTTTGTTTTTTCTTTTCTTGAAAATAAATAACTTACATACAACAAAAAATAAAAATTTCAAGTTATGTATCCCAATAGATAAAATAAAAATTGAAGAAAAAATAAATAATACATTTTTACTATTTATAGCTTTAACTATTCTATTGGATTGAATATAATATACATTTCCATGTGATATATTTACTATCTTTGATAAATACAAACGTTGGCTAACTTCGATAAAAATGAGATTGCACTCGATCTATATAGTTCATTTCGTTTTTTTTCTATATATAACATATAAATCATGACGATGAAGATGAAGTCAGGCGAGGGAAGGTAGAGAGGGAAAGACACATACATATTACAAAGCGAATGAAACCTTGGCTTAGTAGTCGATGTATTCGATTTCTTCTTCACTTTCTCTCTCTTTTGTTAGCCCTCGTGCGCTTTCAGTTATATATATAAATATATACATATGCATTCGGGTACAACGCAACATAAGAAAAAAAACGAAAGAATCGAATGTGCATACAACACGCTTGGAAACCGTTGGTTGAGCGCGGTGTGCACATCGAAACAAACAAACATGCACACACACACACACACCGTTTATGTTTATTTCTTCAGAGACAACGAACAAAAACAAAAATGGAAGATAGAAGGAACACAAAGAAAAATAAATTTTATTTATTACCATTAAAAAAAAACAAAAAAAAAAAATTCTTTCTTTTATTCTTTAACTTTAAAATATATTTTTTTTTGTAAATTAATCATGTGTTATGTTATTTTTTTGACAAAACTCCATTATGTTTTTTTTTTTCTTTTAAATATTTATTTGTCGCTCCGTATGATGAAAATAATTTGATTGGTTAACCAATTTTTACCCGTTGTGTTTTTTTCACGGAGATGAAGAAGAAAAAAAAGAAATATGGAGGAAAACGACAACGTTGAAATTGGACTTGTGCCAAACAGACACAAACTCATATCGAAAAGATACAGATGATGATGATTATATTCTAACATCTTTATTGTTGTTATTTTATAGATTCGCATTTTTTATTCTTCTCCCTTTATCCCATTATTTCATAGATGGCTGCACTCAAACCTCTTCTTGATGCCGAATGTGGCACAACAAACCCGTTGATTAAGTTAAGCCAATTCTATACACGTGATAATACACTTGTTACACAAGTAAGTCTTTTAAGTTTTTAATTTTTAATTTTTATTTATTTTTTGTTTTTCATATAGGATGGTCTTATTAAACCAGCAACAAATAATTTTACTGTATAACAAATATTTGATTTTTGATTTGTTTTATTGAATGTGATTTCATTTTTTGTAGAATGCGAATCTAACTGGCGGAAGTAATGCAACTATTGATGAACTTGTTAATGAATATCATCGGCCTATAGCAGCACCAAATACATTTCATCTTGAAGGTCTTTTAACCGGTTTACGTTTAGCTGATGATACAATTGATAATACTAATAAACATGGTATTTATTGTTTTTTATTTTGTATTTGAAAATAGAATTCATTTTTTTTTGTTTCTCTGATATATATATTAAGAATACGAATGGACGTCACAATTTCTTGATTCACTTACAAATGATTTTTCATCTTATTCAACAAATACAAAAACAAATAATAATTTTTCATCATCAATGATACATCCATTATCAAATCAACAAATACAAACACCACAACATATAATTAATGATTTTAATATTCAATCACAATCACAATGGATGCCATGGAATGAACAATCTTATATGTAAGATTAATTTTTTAAAATAGAAAAAAGAAAAGAATAATTATCAACTAGTTATATAAATAATAAAAAGTAGATTTTTATATAAATTTTTCTATGTCTATTTTGCAGGACATTCTTCTTTTTGAAGTACTTTATTTGCAAAAGAAAAGAAGAAAAAAAAAGAAGTTAATATCTATTTTGATTTTTATGTTTAGATAAAGAAAAGAAAAAAAAAAAGATGTATCCCATAAATAAATAATTGTAACTTTTTAGAAAATAAAATATGAAATATTTTACTTGGCAAAGAAATAAATCTATTATATATGAGAATGAAAACAAAAAATCGGTAAATTTGTTACATAGATTAGAAAATAATTAAATCATTGAATAAATGATAAAATCAAGCAAAAAAAAATGTCTAATGGTCGTTATGACCTTCATCTATAAACATTAGCTAAGGTTTAGACTTCACTGAATTAACTAATTAATATCCTGAAACCTTTTGTCATTATTTTTCTTAATATAATTTTATATTGTATCTTTGTAGTCCTTCGACTTCAACTTTTTCGCTAAATTCAAATTCAGCTTTTCTTGATCAACAACCATCAAATGTCGATGCAGGATTTGACAATGATACTGTCAAAGCTGCACAAAATATTTTTGCACTTTTACAAGAAACCCAATTTGCAGCCGATAGTGAGGTAAACTATTGCAATAAAAAATGATTAAACTTTTAATGTTTTTTGTGTTTTTTCTATATAATTTATTTTACTGTTTGTTTATAGTTTAAAAATTTCGTTGAAAATGTAGCTGGCGGTATTGGAGAAAAATCCACCGTCGATGCCAAGAAGCAAGAGGCTACAGGCGAGACGAAAGTAAAAAGAAAAAAAAAATTTTGTTTTTTTAATGTTAATCATTATTGTTAATGAATTCGTTTAGGATGTAACAGTAGATAAATGGATCAATGAATTTTCTAATGAATTATCGAATGAAAGTGAATGGCAACATGATTGGGCAGCTGATGCTGCTAATTTATCATCACTAGACGAGTAAAACGAAAAAAAGTTATGATATATTTATAATTATTTTTTTTTTGCTTTTAGTCAAATTCCTCGTTCACAATCATGGCTTCGTCATCTTATGGACAATGATGATAATTATTCTGAATATAAATTTGCAAAAGCTAATGTATATCTTGATCATTCAAATCCATTTGAAGAAGGTCTTAAACGTTTACAAGCTCATGATATTGTCAATGCTGTTCTATTGTTTGAAGCTGCCGTCCAAAAACAGCCCAATCATGTTGAGGTAAGAATAATAAATATATTCGATGGTTTTCAAAACTATTTGATTAAGTTTTCAATTTTTTTTTCCCTAATCCACAAATATTCTAATAAGAATCTAAGCAATTATTTGAGTGAAGGATTTCATTAGTAACGAAAATAAAAATGATTGACCGATTGTTAAAATATGGTGTGTTTAGAAAACCAAGATTTACAGCTCTTGTATTCTAGATAATTTTCAGAGCTGTAAAATTTAGTTTTCTAGAGATTTTTATCCTTAGGAAATAGATAAAAACATCTTTTTCTTCGACAATTATTATGAGTACTTATGATAGATGAAAGAAAAATAGAAAAGAAATCTGCTCCAATAATTTTGCAAGCTATTATACAACAATGTTTTTTTTTATTCCGGCAAAACTATTCATGCGATTTAATAGAATTAATAACATTTTTTATTCTTATTCCGCAATATTTATTTTCATTGAATAGTTTATTAATAACTAAAACATTATTGAGATGCTGAAAAAATTTTCTGACAAAAAAAATCTAATCGATTCTTTCAAGTTCATTTTCAATAAAGGGCAATATTTTCTTAACTATTTAACCTAGAAGAATGACAACTAAAGAAATGTCTATTATCAGAAAGATAAATAGCATAATTAGCTATGATAGAATTATTTCAAAGCGGAAGTGTTAATTCGAAAAAAGTCAATTTCTGGTATGTTTAGTCATTTCTTAAAAGTAACAATATTGATTGATCGATAGTTAATGAAATGTGCTTGTTTGACCTTTAATATTCAATTAGAAACAATAATATACGAAACATAATTATTGAAAGAAAATGAAAAATATTTCAGTGAGTTTTTCTCGTTTTCTAAAATAGTTACAAAATTACTTTTATTAGAAATATGAACAATCATTTAGCGAGTATTGATAAGAAGGCGTATATAGTATTAGTACAATAATTTAGTTTTTTTTCTCCTCAATACAAATAAAAATATCATCAAAATTTTGAATGATTTTTACAGTAATTATTATATATTCTATTCTTATTGTTTTAAGAATACTAAAATATCGTTTGACAATTCTCGAAATTAAATAATCTTTTATTGCATCAGTAAAATTAACATAGTATAAGAAGACTCCGTGATAGAAGTATCCCGACCTTGACAAAACTAATCCAGACTTTATTCATATTACATTTCAAAAAATTCTTTAATACTCATGTTTCGATTTATTTACTCAACGCAAAGGTATTTGAGCAGAGAAGTTCATAATTTTCAAAGCGATTTTCTTTCCAATCCTTGCAAGAAGAGTCAATGTCCCTGTATTGATGTTCCACACTTTTTTTCTCGTAGTTTCGCACATCTCTAGTTCATGCTCAATACTCAAAGTATATTTGAGATTTATTCATTTGCGTTATCTTTTTACTATATAAATAATTTTTCTATAAATTAGGCATGGCTTTATCTTGGCGTAACTCAAAGTGAAAATGAACAGGATGGTCCTGCTATATGTGCATTAAAAAAGTAAGAATAATGATGTTTTCTATTCTCTTATCGAAATTCTTTTTTTTTTGTTTTAAAGATGTGTTGAACTTGATCCAAAAAATTTACAAGCTTATATAACATTAGCTTCGTGTTATGCTAATGAAATGTTAACAAATGAAGCACTTGATTCTTTACGAAAATGGTTAGCTAATAATGAAAAATATTCTCATTTATTAACCAATCGTCGATCACAAACAACAACAACAACTGATGAACCAAGATTGATTGATGAGTATGTTTATTATTTATTTATTTTTTGCTAAATAGTTAAGTTTCTATGTGTGTTTATTTAGGTTGGCTTTTGAAGAATTACAAGAATTATTTTTACAAGCAGTTTCATTATCAAATAATCCAAATGATATTGATTCTGATCTTCAAGTATGATGAATTTAAAAAGAAAAATTTTCCAAATAAAATTCATTTTCGATTTTTTTTGTTTTTTCTTCTTTAGGTATGTCTTGGTGTATTGTTTCATTTGCCTGGCGATTATGATAAAGCAGCAGAATGTTTCAATACAGCCGTTCTTGCTAAACCCGATGTAAGTTTTTGTTTTATTAAAAAAACAACAAAATGAACAGATAAATGAAAAAAAAAAAGATAACTTATTATCTATCATTTGCGAAGTTCTTAGAAAAATAAGTTATGTTGCATATTTTTGTACTTTGCTACTGATAACGAGGTTATAAATTCTTATGCAAGATAAGAATTTTCAAAAAGAATGTAGTAAATAGTCTATTAGACTCTTTCACATTCCATTATTAATATCAAAAGAAATTTAAGTTTAATGAAACGAATTTATTATTGGAAAACATCCAAACATATTTACTTTGCTAATAAATTTAATTAATTATTTATGTAACAGATCTCGAACAGTAAAATGGATCTTTTAGTAATTTTTATTTCGAAATAGAAATTCGTTATTCAAAAGATTTAGCTATTAATCCTCTAGAAATTTGTATATTCTAATTAATAAAACAATGCTTCCTACTTTAGTGACATGCAATATAAAAGAGTAATTGAATCTAAACTACTTTCTAGCTGGCAAGAGAACTTCCTTAGATGCTCATTTCCGATTTCAATGATGTTTTTTTTTACTGATAGATACTACATAATCATCTAATAAATATTCTAATGGGATTGAGATTTCTACTGAGATTTGAATAAGTTATGGATTTTTTTTTAAAGTTTCAAGTTTTTGAGAAAATCTTATTTTTCAAATTTTGATTTGAAATTTTCTACGTAAGAAGAACTCAGCTAGATTAATGTTCATAAGAAAATTCAAAAGATCAGATCTTTTCACAAATCTGAAGTCCTATAGAAGTTTGTAAAAAAATAGACATACAGTTTTTCTCTTTTGTGTTTTTGCAAAGATTTGTTACCACACGTACTAATTGTTCAAGTAATGTTAGTTTTTTGACATTGAATAATCTAACTACGTAATTTGAATATCGATAATGCGAAGATTGATGATTCTTATCAAAATTAGACATACAGCTGTCATTTATCTATACCTCTCACTTCTATATCGATTTATGGTTGTTCATTTGATATCTAAACCTGTCAGTTAGTTGCAATAAGCTATAATCATCCAATGTTTGTTAAATCAAAGCATGATATTCTCTCTCGTAAATCATACGAACATGAAGCTTAACAATCATGCTAAGTTCAAACAAAAATAACATCAATTCACATACTATCATTTAACTCATTGACGATGTCATGAGTGTTGTAGAGCATTAAAATGAAACTTTTTTTTTGATCAAAAACAATTGTTTTGAAATGGCGAGAACAAGTTGAGTTATTGAAAAAAGTACTGAGAGAATCTTCATTTTGCTACATCTGTTATTATTAAAATAAGATAGAAGATTCATGACGGCTCAGCAGAAAAATTCGAAATTATCAGAATAGCTATAGCAAAAACTTCTGAAAGGTTCAAGTTTTCTGAAAGTTGTCTTCCATATAAAGTCACAATAGTCTGAATTTTCGCCCCTGTTTCTTTAATATCCTTTGCTCGATTAAGCTGAACATTTTTTTTTACAAGCACTAGACACTGTCTAGGGCAAGTTTCTTTTCATTATTTGTTTCTTGAATAAAAGAGTGAAAATATCGAACGTACTTCAAAAACATGCATATGTTTTCTTAATAGAACTACCAAAAGTTAAAGTAATAATATTTTTTGAAACATTTTATAGTATATGTGTAAAAGCTTTCAGCTCAATTGGACATCCTAGTGCGAAGAAACATACGATTCATTATTTGCTTTACATAAATTTGATCGTATAATATCTAAAGATCATTTTTGAATCCCGATATTGTACTTCAGGTTATAAAATAGGTACAAAACAAACAAAAATCTCATGTTATGCAACAAGTAGAGAATATCCTCAATAAACCATTTTATCTTTTAGGATGCTCTATTATGGAACAAATTAGGTGCAGCATTAGCTAATGGTGGTCAAAGTGAAAAAGCAGTTGATGCTTATTATCATGCATTATCATTATCACCCGGTTTTGTACGTGCTCGTTACAATCTTGGCATTAGTTGTTTTAATTTAAGTGCATATAAACAAGCTGTTGAACATTTCTTAACAGCACTTAAACAACAAAGTGATGGTATGGGTCCACAAGGTACACACGTGCAAATGTCCGAAAATATTTGGCGTACATTAACAATCGCTATCGGTCATTTGCAACGGCCAGATTTGGAACAGAGCGTTGCAAAAAAAGATTTATCTAAATTACTTCATGAATTCCAAATTGAGTGAATTCATTTCTAAACCTATATACGTTTCTTCGTTTTTTTTTTTTGTTTGTTTTTCCTATTTCTTTTTCTTTTTTTCTCTTGTGTCCTTTTGGTTCTTTGTAGCTCTGTTCAATGAGCAACAGATTTGTGAGTTTGTGTGCGCGTACGTGTGTCTGTTTTGGGTTTATTCTCTACTATGCATTGCTCCAAGCAAAAAACTAAGCTTCGTTTTGTTTTTTTGTTGTTTTCTTTTTTTTTGCATCTTGACTATTCCCGCATATCTTTTTTCTCTTCCTTTTTTCGTTTTGTTCGATATTTATTTTCATGTGATCATTCGAACAAGTTTCTCCTGCTCCCATTCTAAACATATACATATATAGATTAGTCGATCTCTCTCTCTCTCTCTCTCGTTTCTTTTCTTTCGTTCTATTATGAAAAGTACATGAAAACAAAACCAAAAACCAAAAAAAAAAAAAAGCAAAAAATCTATCCGAGGTTCTTTAATGTTTCTTGTCCTTGTTTCTTCTTTTTCTTTTTCGTTCGAAAAATTAAAAGACAAAAAAATATAAAGTTTTTGTTTCCTAACGAAAAAAACCTAGACTTTTCTTTATAGTCTAATCAAAAAAATTCGTATAATGACAATGAAAAAAAACAAAAACACCATCTTCGCTTTTCTTCTTCTATGTTTTTCTTCTCATTTTTTTTTTGTTTCTCCTTGTCTATTGAGCAAAAAAAAAAAGAAAAAAAGTGAATAGAAAAAAAAAAAAAGAAATAGAGAGACTAATTTTTTTTTTATTCACTTTTTATTCTTTATTGAAATTTATGTATCCATGTTGAACAGTCAATCACTTAGAAATCAGGAAGTCTTAGCCTAAGTTTTAAACATCTGTCCCACGTCCACTGAAGTCTCTCAATTATATTAAAAAGTTATGGGGAAAAAAAATAATATGCCTCGGTTATGGAATGTACACTTTTTTGTTCGTTTTCTTTATACGTATTGTTGGGTTTTTGTTTTTTTTTTCCTTATTAATTGTTTTACTTCTGCTGCTAGTTGTAACAGTGCGTGTATGTGTATTGGAGTGATGAAACAAGTTGATGTAACAGCCGTATCTTGAAGACGAAGAAAATAGCGTCATACAAAGGAAATATTAAAAAAAATTAATAAAGGATGAGGCAATATGGGGAAATGTCTTTTTTTTTTTCGTTTCTATTTCTCTATTGATGGTATCATTACCAAAGCAAACAAGGATAAAATTATAAAGTATAAATAGAAAAATTTTCATTTAGATGGTTGCGGTAAGAAAAAAGCGATGGCTAAAAATTTATTATCAATTGATGAGAAATATTTATTGATTACGCGAAATTTACAAGAAACTATTGGAGATGATCAATTAAAGGAGATTTTGAGTGAAAGAGATCTTAAAGTTTATTGGGGAACAGCAACAACAGGTCGACCACATATTGCATATTTTCTACCTATGATAAAAATAGCAGATTTTTTACATGCTGGTTGTGAGGTAAAACTTTTATTGTAATATATGTTTAAAATATTAAAATATTATTACAGGTAACGATTCTATTTGCTGATCTTCATGCTTATTTAGACAACATGAAAGCACCCTGGGAATTACTAGATCATCGTACATCTTACTATCAACATATAATTAAAGCAATGTTAAAGTCAATAGGAGTACCATTAGAAAAATTAAAATTTGTACGTGGTACTGATTATCAACTAACACAGTATGAATAATAATTTATTTCTATTAATAATTTCTATTAATCATTCTAGAGAATATACATGTGATGTTTATCGTTTGTTTTCTATTGTTTCTGAACATCGAGCTAAAAGAGCTGGTGCAGAAGTTGTTAAACAAGTAGCTTCACCTTTAATCAGTGGTTTATTGTATCCTTGTCTTCAAGTATTATGTTTAGGCAAAGAAAAAAGGAAAACATTTATTTATTTTTTTCGTTTTTTTCCTACTCATAGGCTCTTGATGAAGAATATTTACACGTTGATGCTCAATTTGGAGGTGTAGATCAACGAAGGATTTTTACATTTGCTGAAGAAGTTTGTTAATGTTTATTTTTTTTAAATTATTGATCTCATATGTTTTTATTTAGAATTTACCAAAATTAGGTTATAACAAACGTATTTACTTAATGAATCCAATGAGTAAATATGAATTTTGATTCTTCACAAGATAATTTATCATATCATTTTATAGTTCCTGGCTTAACTGGTGATAAAATGTCTGCATCTAATGAAAAAAGTAAAATTGATTTACTTGATACATCAGAACAAGTTAAAGTCAAACTTAATGCAGCTTTATGTGAAACAACAAATATTGAACAAAATGGTATACTTCTTTTTTGTAAAAATGTTATTTTTCCATTACTTAAAAACGAAAGTTAGTCCTATCTAAATTTGGATTATAACATCATATTTGTTATATATTTATAGAATTTATACTTTTACAATCAAGTAAAAATAATCAACTGATATCATTTGATAATTATCAACACTTAGAAGACACATTTATTGAAGAGGTTATTTGAAGATGATTTAATTTAATTTTAAAATTTTTTGTATTTTAAGGATATCAATGCTAATGATATTAAAAATGGTCTTGCAGAATGTCTTAATAAATTACTTGAACCAATTCGACAAGAATTTCAATCTGAAGAGATGCAAAAATTAATATCACTAGCTTATCCAACATCATAGAACTCGTTGATAAATTATCAATATAGTGAAATTTAACTATATAACCTTGAGTTTTATTATTTTTTCTTTGAAATATTTTGTTGTTATATTGTTTAAAATTTAAATCTTAATCAATAGTTTAGAATATTTGATAAGGAGTGGTGTGGATTCATTTCTTCTCGGAATATAAATACATTCCAAATGAATCAAGTGAAATAACCAGGACTTTAGCAGGGTGAAGTGCTTGACCTGGCCGACTTCTATCTGATGAGGCAGCTTGTAACAGAGTTCAACTGCCATGGTTGCAATCGATAGGGGCTCAAAATTTCGATGGGCAACTCAACCTTCTTGCCCTTGGTTACGCTACTAACTCTCAATCTAAAGCAAAAAATTGTTCACAAGTTATGATCTACAACTGATAAATCGCTTTTGAATCGAGACAACACACATTATGTAGACCCAAATGAGCTATGGATACACTGAAAAGAGATATGCCTTTATTCATATACATTAGCAGATTTGCTGTTCACAATTCAGAATGAGTATGAATTAGAAGAACTAAACCTACTCTCATTAATGTCTGTCTCTTTTCAAAGTTTCAAGTCGGAGTTTGAAAAACAGTTTTTCTAAACTACGGCATTTTATTATTTAAAAAAAGTTCCGTGAAAGTGCAATATCTTCGCAGTCATATTAGAAGAGCATGAGCTCTTTTCAAAGTATACATAGTTTATTCGAATCAACATAATGCAAATAGTCATGATTCAAAAGCAATTAAGCAATTGTAGGACTTCTCTTGTTAGAAAAACCTTCTATACAATAGAACTTTAGTAAAAAAAAAAATTGTTAAAAAAACAAAAACAAAACATCATAACTTAGGTCTAAAAATCTATTTTAGATTAATAAAAAAAAATGACTGCAACGAGACAATTTATTCGAAGCGACTTTGATCATTTACTTCATTCATTTGTTGATGAAAATCAATTTCCTTGGCTTGATCCTAGTCTACATGAACGGTATTAAATCTCTCAACCATATTTCTTTATTTCTAATAAAAATATTCATCTAGACAATTAACTACACATGATATTGATATTAATCAATTATTTACTATCGAAGCTCTAAATGATGAACATGATCTTGTAGCCGATAGAAATTTAACTACTGGTGAAATAATTGGTTTATGTGAAGTAAAATTCTTTTCTTTTTTTTTCATTTTAAAAACGAAAACTTAATACATCTTAGATGATATTTAGGTGCCAATTATACCTAAACCAGTAGTTAATATAAATCTTGAAGATGATCCACCATTATATCCTAATGAATTTCTTCAACCGGCTCCAATATCATGTCCTTGTTTACCAACAACTATAAATGAAATATCAAATGAAAATAATCAAGATTTAGAAACAATCCTTAATAGAAATGATACAGATACATTATTGTCAAATGATGATCGTAAGATTCATATGAAATGATTCATATTTTATTAGAAACCATTTTTTTTCTTTTTTAAAAAGATCTTTTAAAATCTTTATCAAATGAAAATGATCTTGGTATGGATCTTCCATCGAAAACAACTTCATTTAAACCAAATTTTGATAAACAATATGAAACATTTCTTCATCAATGGAAATCTGATCTTGATGATATTAATTTACAATCAACATTCAATCAACAACAACAATCATCAATTATTGATGCACCTATACCAGCAAAACTTCGTCTTGGTGGTCTATTTGATATTCCATTACCAGAACTTAAATTTCGATCAACAATGAAAGATATAAATAAAACAGCTGAACAACAATTAAATCGTTCATATGCTATTGAATTAAATCCAAATGAAAAACTTGGAGATTTTCGTTTAAGAGTACCTCATATGGCTATTCAAGTATACATATTGTTGTTGTTTCTTTTTTCTAACTGATTTATTATTCTTCGTTTTTCTTTTTTTAATGAATAGTATCCATTTGAATTAGACACATTTCAAAAACAAGCTATTTTAAGATTAGAAAATAATGAAAGTGTTTTTGTTGCAGCACATACATCAGCAGGCAAAACAGTTGTTGCTGGTTAGAATATAAATTCAATAATTAGATTGATGATATTAAATATTTATTTTTTTATTTTAGAATATGCTATTGCTCTTGCACAAAATCATTCAACTAAGTAAGTGACATGATTTATGAATCAATTAGGAAAAAAAATGACAAGACAAACTAAAAGTTGTTAGTGCAATCCCTACAGAATTACAATGTGAAAAACGATGTAGCTACTGTTGCTAATTCATGGGAAATTGTTTTATTCTATCGATTTTGAAACAAAATTCCTCATCCTTCTTTAACTTAATTGACTAGAAATGCAATAAGGAAGTAATATCTGCGCCAGAATTAATAAGAGCTGACTGTGACCTCTATAAATTGATAAAGACAACAACTAGCAACCTTCGATTTTCAACAATCGAAAGAGTAGAACTTCATACGTCTTTTTATCTAATATTATACGAGATAAAATTATTTTCAAATCTATCATTCGTGCAAAAAGTTTTTGAAAATATAATGAAAATGATGTTACGTTTTGATTTTGACATGTGCTTCCAATAGATGGACTCCAGATTTCTAGTTCAAGAGAAGATTTATCTAATTATATTTTTTCCATCTCAATGCTGAACAAATAAAATTGCACATCTATTCGTTCAAATTATATAGAATTCTGTTGATCGCTAGAAAATTTTCTCGTTTTTTTATCACAACTTTGCTTGAAACAGGACACTGCATTTACTCATTTTTTTGAATGTTTTTGCAGAAAATCATAGATCGCTAACTGTTGCCTTTGTCGAATCATTGGGCTTGCTCATATATCAACAATAGTTGTCAAGGCCTGCGATGACTCGTGGCTAACGATGGAGCTTCTCCAAGTGTCAAATCATTTTCAAATCGAGACGATTTGCATTCGATGAGTAATTGTGAGAAATACAAAGTTTTAGAATGATTCGGTTTGCCACGCTTTCGTTCTTGAGATATTAGGATTTTACTGAGTTTTGAAACAAAAAGCTGTGATCCCTGTCAGGTTACGCGGAAAACCGACTTTCGAATTTCGACTTCAAACTTTACCTGAACGATGTTCTCAATGATATTATTGCATTGGATGAGTTGTAACTTTTCTAGTATCTCCTAAGCTGAAATATTAAATATTCGGAGTTCTCTCATGTGTAAAAGAAAGTTTTATTAATGCATGTATATCTTTAGAAAGAAAACAAAAATTGCACAATGAACTGATCTCACTGAGAATTTTCTTGATGCAAAGTTTGGAGTCGAAAGTCGTTTATCCCTGTGACTTGAGAGTCAATCCAGCATTTTGTTGAAAAACAGTAAAATTTTGATTTCTCAAGAACGGATGTTCATAGTACCAAATCATTCTAGAATTTTCTATTACTTTCTAGAGTTCATCAAATGAGCATCATCTCCATCGAAAAGCGATTTAATACTTGCGGAAGTTTCCTTGTAAGATGTCTATAGGGGCACTTAAATTTCTATCGCTATACTTCGACCCCTCCTTTTAGTTAATGTTTCACAGAAAAGCAAAAATATTTATTGAGCATCGTAGATTAATCAGATGAAATAATGTGCTTCAAATGAATGAAATCAATGTAACTAAGAAATTAAGTTCTGATAATTGAAAAATTCTTTTGCAATTAAGAAACAATCGAAATCTTTTAGAGCATTTTATACAAGTCCAATAAAAGCTTTATCAAATCAAAAATATTGTGATTTTAAAAAACGTTTTAATGATGTTGGTCTTCTTACTGGTGATGTTCAAATAAATCATGAAGCATCATGTTTAATAATGACGACAGAAATTCTTAGGTATATATTTTAATTTTGATTTTTACAATTAAAAGAAATTTTCTTATTTGAAGATCTATGCTTTATAATCGATCAAATACACTTAAATCTCTTGAATGGGTTATTATGGATGAAATTCATTATTTAAATGATACAGAAGTTTGTAGAGAAAAAAAATTATTTTAATGATGAATAATATTTTTAATAGAGAGGTTTTGTTTGGGAAGAAGTATTAATTATGTTACCTGATCATGTTGGTTTAATAATGCTTAGTGCAACTGTATCTAATGCTCGGGAATTTGCTGAATGGGTTGGGTAAGTTTATTTATTATTTTTCTAATCAAAATTTAATATTGAAAAATTTAGACGAATGAAACGACGAAATGTTTATGTCATTTCAACGTAAATATATACATTTTGATAAAATGAAAAAATTTACTTTTGTTTTCATTTAGATTCAAACGACCTGTTCCACTTGAACATTTTCTTTATACAGGAAATAGTACGTCAACGAATAAAGAATTATTTATGATAATTGATGCTGAACAAAAATTTCTTGAACGAAAGTATGTTAAATGATAGTACAAGAAATTATAAGAAATTATTTTTTTGTATTATTATTATTATTATAGTCATGCACAAGCAGTTGCTGCTAAAGCAGCAAGACAAAAAGATCGTCAACAAAATTTTGGGTCTAAAACTCGATATGATACTTTAAATACGAATCAGGTATAAGCATAATAAGAGTATATTTTCAGATTGGTCTCTACAGACCATGGCAGATACCTTCATAATGCTGCTTTCTCCTTACGCACTACTGTCACATGTATAGACGAAAACGAAATCTACTGTAGGATTAGTATAGAATACGACGAGTTTTGAGATAATAAATTACATTTTTTTCTGTCAAAAGCTTCACGGGACGCTCTAGGCTACTGTGGACCTTTCGATTCTTATATAGGATTGTTTAGAATGAAAGAATTAATTCGTTTTGTTCACAACCACACGTTTTAGGTGCTCTCCGTGGGTAGAAAAATACTTTCAAGGCAATGTTTTTTTCAGCCAAGAATATTCATATCAAGATACTTGTGCTTTGCTCTACTTCCCACACACTGTAATGCATTACGATTAACATTTTTTATCATCAGCATATATTAACAACAAGTAGTAATTGAC